AGAGAGAGAGAGAGAGAGAGAGAGAGAGAGAGAGAGAGAGAGAGAGAATATGAACCTAGATAAATGCACGGCTGATCCAGGCCGTGTTATATGCTCTAACCACTGTGTCTGTTGCCAGCCTGTATGAGACAGAACATTAAAGCCAAAGCAGAGACTAGTTCCATAAACAACCACAGAGTAAAAATGTTACAGTCTCTATCCTAGAGTCATTATCTTCATCATTTTTTTTTCTTACAGCTACCCTTAAAAGCATGGGCATGGTTAGTTCCAGACCTATATAGATAGGCTGTACCTTAGTCATGTTAATGTCCCAGTCTCTGAAGGTTATACTTAGTAAACAAGAGGTGGAAGGGATGAAATACGTATTTTGCTAATTCAAATTCATTAACATGCCCATTAAATATTTGGTTTCTATTAAATATCATAGAAAACTTCTGTCAGTGCTATAGTTTAGGTGCTGACTGTCCTCAAGGACATCTGCATGTGAAAGGTTTGATTACATGTGATGGTACTGGAAGCTGGGTTATTTGGGCATGCCCTTAAAGGGAATACTATTGCATTGCGTCCTGCCTCTGATTGCTTTTTGCTTTCTGTTAATGTTCTGCCATACACTCCACCATGACAAGATGCCTCATTAGAGAACCAAAGCAATACTCACCACCAAACCTAGGCAACTTAGAACAAAATCCCTGAAATCAAGAGCCAAAATGAACCTTTTTTCTTGTAAGTCAATTATCACAAATACTTAGTTATAGTAAGAGGAAGTAACAGAAAGTTAACATAGTGGTTAAACCATAGGTTACATTTAAATTGGGCAAGTAACTTATGATTCCTTTTCTTCCCTAATTATACTACAAATAAAAACTAATAAAAGACAATCTCAGCTGCCACATAAAGCCAACAGGTAGGAATGACTCACTTAGGTAACTGTCCTAGCACTCTGCCTACACTACATCATACATCAACAGACAGAAAATGGCAAAACCCCAGCTCCGTTTCAGAATTCCTGGAGTAGGTACAACAGGCAAACCGGTAATGAGTTGCTTGTATATGGACCCTGCTTTGGTCTCTTTGCCAAGACTATTCATTCAGCTTGGCCACAGCAAAACAGTCAGAATTTTGGGGTTGCCACCAAAAACAAATAGCCACTCAGATTTAAATGCATGAGCTCCAAGGGCATTCAGGGAAATGGTAAAGGAACAGAGGAGTTGAACCAAAGGTGCCACTGAGCTCAGAGGGCCTCTTACATCTGCTACATAGTTTATGCAGCAGAAACATTTCTCAAGCTAAAAGTTTGCTAGGGGCTTGCCTGAACAGCAACTGGAGACCCTCAGGAGCATCAAAGCCACCAAAAAGTGGGAGAAAACAGCAAAGTGTAAATCAGGGAAAGACTCCTGTTGCTGGAAATGACACAATGCTTGTCACATTCTGACTAAAATACTGCTGGGTGTACAATGGTATTTTATGAAAAAAAAAAAAAGAATGCAAAAAAAGTCAAAGAGATTTCAAACTGCATATCTGGTTGAGATCAGCTGAGAAGTAGTCCTGGGCTAGTTCTCAGTCTAGACAATGACAACCACCCACGGAGGATATCTGGAAGAGAACTGGGCTTTGGTTTTATCACTCTGCCCCTTTATCTACTCCTACAAACACAGGACATCAAAGACTAGCAGCACAGAAACCTGTTTTTGAGAACTGAAGGCATTGGTTGGCACCCTCCAAAGTCTATCAAGCACAGAAATAAGCAAGTGGAAACAAGACATTCAGTATGTTCTGTAGGGCGTGTGTCTGCCTGGCGCTCACTTATGCACTCCTCCTTTTTAATTCAAGGCTAAACAAATATATCTTTTAATCATTTTCGTGGAAATGAACAACTAATTTATATACAAATAAAAGAACCATGTTGGCTTACAATTTCTTCCCAATAACACCATCACTGGAATCAGTGTCTACAGGGATCACTGTCTTGCAATCCAACGACAGACAAAGGCTCTCAGAATAGTGTTTTTTAAAACCATAACTCCTATCATACATTGCTTGTAAGTCACATAATAAAAACAAAACTTCTCAAGGTTTACTAAAGGCATTATGGATAGGACTAAGATATGGATCAGCAGTAGAGTACTTGCCTAGCATGTGTTAAGTCTTGCATTTAATTCCCAGCACCAAAAGCTTTGTTTCAGTTTGTGTTATTTAATTTAGTTTATTTTGTGTGCATGTATGGCTGTGCACCACATGCACTCTGTGTATCACATGTCCTGGAGACCAGAAGGCGGCACTGGATCCCTTGGAACTGGAGTTATAGCCAGGGGTCTACAGTGAAATCAAATAATACTGTTGTACTAAAAGAACATAGCAGTAAGATGACCCCTCATGCTACTTTGCTACACTC